CTGAAACTGTCGCTATTTAATTGGGGATGTAAAGGGTTTTATACTGTTTTCTTCCGATAATTCCATGGATACGTCCTCTATCACCGAATGGATTGGTGATTACATAGTTATTCATCCAGTTTCCTGATATCTATTGAATGTAAGTAGTATCGATGTCAAAAAGAGTCGTACTGCTTTTACTATACCTTTCACTGATGGCTATGTTTGCTCTTTTAAATTATCGCATTGTTTAGCTTAGTCATAAGTGATTCCATCGTCATTTCTATCGGCGCTTTTGTATATAGACTGTTTACATCAAAGCTAACTAATATTTCTTCCGTATTGATTCCAGCGTATTTTAGTCTTTTAACTAATTCAAAAGTCTCTTATGCCACATTAAATTCATCAATTTTTGTAGCTCCGTAATCAGTAAAACGAAGGATAGAACGAGGCAAAAATTGTCTAGATCCCTTCCTAATGGCATTCATGCAAACTCATTTCCATGAGTCCCAGATAAATATGTGACTAATTTGTCCCCTGTTGTACTTTCGATTCATGAGAAAGAGACGCTTTCTCTTGGATTCAACTTTTCAGTTCCATACACGCAAATCTCTCCGTTGGATATGGATGCTCAGTTTGAAAATCTCTATGACCAACTGAGCTCTCTTGTCCCTACATCTTCAGATAATCAAAGTTGGTTAAAGGCTAAATTAGTTGATATTACTCACCAATTCCATAGTTAAGAAACAAGACAAAGAAGCATTTTGAGTCCACAGCACTTCATATCTTTGAGAGAATTACGGAGTAGATAAGATATAATCATTCTTAAACCCGATAAGGGATCAGGTATCGTTATGTTGAATAAATCTGACTATAAAAATAAAATGCTATCCATCCTCAGCGATGAAAACAAATTCGTAGCCGATGTCCCTCAGAAGATATTAGAAAATTGGAAGCAAAAGTAACCGCTCATTTAGTAAAACTTTTGAATATGAATGCCAATAGCAAAGAGGAATTTAATTCATTGAGACCTACGGGGTCCAAATTTCCAAATTTATATGGATTACCTGAGATTCATAAAGCTAATAATTCCTTATGCTTTATATTGTCTATGTGTCGTTCCGCTGCACATAAACTGGCGAAATGGTTGGTAAAAGTGTTAAATCCAGTTCAGAACCAATTCTGTAAGTTTTCATTGAAAGATTCTTTTCAAATTGTTGACTGTCTTAGTAATATGAATATAGAAAACAAGTTTATGTACTCTTTCGATGTAGATTCCTTACTCACTAACGTGCCATTGTCCAACACCGTTACCATTCTCTGTGACTATCCTCTAAAAACCTCCCATTTCTTATTACTCCAACCTTTCTGAAGGAGTTATTGTTGCTGTGTACCGACAAAGTCCACCTCACATTTGAAGGTGAACGCTTTCGACAAGTTGATGGTGTAGCTATGGGTAGTCCATTAGGACCACTACTAGCTGATATTTATATGTCATATATCGAAAATCTGGCTGGTGAACTCATCGCTAAAGTTCCTCTTTACAAGAGATATGTTGATGACATCATAGTGATTTGTGAGAGGCATGAGGATATGGCTTGTCTACTAAATAGACTTAACGCCGTACAAACACACATCAGCCTGGCATGTGAGAAAGAGAATAATAATCAACTGCCATTCCTAGATATACTCCTCAGTCGACGAGAAGATGGTTCAGTAGGACGGTCAGTTTACAGAAAGCCTACACGGACAGGACAATACCTGAATTTCCACAGTTTTTGTCCGATCCAATACAAGCGAGGTCTAGTAAAATGCCTGTTTAATACGATCTATCGTATCAGTACACCAGATGCGATGGATGAAGACACCAAATTACTGACCAAAGCATTTATGGAAAATGGATATCCGACGAAGTTCATAAACCGTTGTGGAGGTCAAATAGCACCACAGCCAACTCTATACACGGTCCTTAAGAAAAATGTCCATATCACTCTACCATACAGAGGGGAGCGAAATAGTATCATTTTGAGACGTTGGCTGACATCAGCCATTAAGAAAACGTATTATGCGGCGAATCTTACCATTATGAAGAAGAAACACATGCTTCACCAAAAACCTAGACACTGCATCGGTGATTGCGTCACATCCCATTGTGTTTACCAATTTACATGTGTGTGTGGTCACATACATAGGGAGGAGTAATCGAGTCATGCAGTTGAGGGTGGGGGAGAACATATGCCTAAATGGCTTCTAAAACAAATGGAGTGTGAAACAGTGATAAACGCTGGTGGGAGACGACCCTCTTCATCTATAGCTAAACATGTCATAGAAACAGGTCACAAAGTTAATGTCCAAACAGCTTTCAAAGTTTTAGACAGAAACAGTCAGGGACGTATTCTGAGATTTGCCGAAGCCATAGCCATACACAAATTTAAACCACCTTTATGTGTACAAAAACAGTTTGTTCTTACACTACACCTACTTTGGTAAACTTTGTTTTCTTACCAAGATTAGGATCAACTATGTCACCCTTCCTGTTTGTTCTCGTCTTTCTTAATTTTAATCCCCTGTTGTGTTAATTGTTGTATTTGTCCCCGCTCCAGTTCTGGGTTTAATATATATAGACTTGACAAGTAAATGTGTGATCAGATTGTTCGAAATGTATAGCGCAAATACATCAATCACATTGTTCAGATAAGCTTCGTCTTCTAATTACGCTATCGAAATTAAAATGGTTGTGTGATCAACCTCAAGGAAGTATCCCTTGTGTTTACGCACTAACCCTTCTTTTCCAAGGACGTTAAGAAGAACTAGCGTTCCACGATGGGCAGCAGGAAGTATCAACTGCTCGCAAATCTGTCAGCACTCAAGTTTCCCCAGATCATTATTCAACTTCCACATTTTCTAATCTCCCTTCAATAATCCTACAACAACCCTACTTTCCTCTATCTCTTAATAAACAGACATTTTTTTCTAACCAGCTTTTCCCAACCTAACGCATGCACGCGAACGCATCCTTGCAGGCACCGAGCTTAGTGAGTAAAGAAAGAAATTCAAATGCAAACAGACGAAGTCCCCGCAATGACAATCAGCAGTGGCAGAAAGCAAGGGCTAAAAAGAGAAATAAAGCAGTGACGCCAGTCAACAGTTATTCAAACTCCCTCAGCAAACTAGGGGGGAATGTCAGTGGTTAGTGAGTATATAGTGAAGAACGGTAGGTCTGCTACACACTCGCAAGGGAGACGGCTGGAAAACTTGGAGGAACAGTTCAACTGGCTTTCAGCTACCATTCCGTTGCGTACTGTTCAGTAGGATCATGAATAGAACATCGAGATAGGATTGTCAGCGCTAATGGAAGTCGAAAAAGCTGCAACCTTAAATGATAAACGGTAGCAGGGACAGATGGACTAGTACCAGCGATACTTAATAACGGTGTCAGAAAACTACCTAAAGTGTTAACTAGTGTGTGAGTCACATGTGATCCCCTATTGGCTGGTTTCAACCACTGATTGTCCCAGTCCCCAAAATAGACAAGACATTCTTTTATGATAACCAGATGAGAATCAGCCTGATGAACAGTCTCAGATTCGTTATCAGACGTCTAAGCTGAGCTGAAAAACAACAAATGCGAGAAAGCCAGGTAGGTTTCAGACCTGGCTGTGAGAGTATGTGACCAGAAATTCACTCTCAGAACACAAGCACAATTACCGGAACCCAACACCAGGTGTATTTCTCTACCTTAAGAAAACATTTGATTCCATCGATCGAGAGGTTTCATGTTAGTATCTGTCACTGGAAGGAGTGCCAAGTAGGTCGCTCTGCTCAAGGCTTTTTGTTCGAAAACCCATGAGCGTGGTAGATAGAGACAATGGTGAGTTAACACATGGGTTTTGTATTTTGAATGGTATCCGTTAAAGATGTCCCCTCTCTTCATTCCTATTCAACTTTACCATGGACGTGCTAATGGAGGTCTGCTGCTAGCTATTTGAATTTGCAAAGACTGGTCTTGTCAAAGGAGACTCTATAATAGACCTAGAGTACTCGAAGATGCAGTCTCCTGGACACATCGAGTGGCGATTCAGGAATGCTTGGGGTGCGTTTCTCACCGCTTAAATGCAAACTTTCTCCAGGACGTCTTCAGTGGTGTCATGTCCAACAATAGAGAGTGAAATGGTTAGGCACGACCACTACCACTTATCTGGGAAGTCGGGTCAGCCTTGGTAGGTTAGTGGGCGACGAAATTTCTGCACGAATCAAATACAACAGATCCGACTAGCTTCCACCATCTTTGGAGCCACCAAGATAGTCGATTGCCTATTAAGGGTCGAGTATACTGTGCTGCAGTCCGCTAATGTATAGCTGTGAAGTACGGGCATCATGTTTGACCACCGTTGCCTTCGTAGCGTAGGCTGTGTATTGTTGTGTCACCATATCAGTAACGCAGAAGTCAGGTGGTTGGGACATGTGTTGCGCATGCCTAATCACCGCCTGCTCCATTACACAAGCTGAAGTAGGTTTAAGCCGGGAGAGGGTGAGGGGCGGCCAGACCAAAATATGGTATCAATCTAGGAATCTGCTGACTGTTGATCTTGTAGATTTGGTTCTACATAACAGAAGCCAGTGGTTGGAGACTACGTGGTACAGCTCAGAATCAGTGCCGAAAGCGCAGATATATTCATACATTATACTCATATCAATCGTCATATTGAATTCAGTACTTTCTAATCTTTTTCACCCCTTTTGATGACTTCTTCCCAATGTTAAATGCTCTCCTATTATTTCTTTATCTTTCATCATGATACTTTCTTGCTTGATTTGAGGTGTAGCAACATAGGTCGTTACGCAGTAATCCCAGATACTAGGCTGGTTTCGTCTCCCTCTATCAATATCCGGTTAACTACAGAAAAGTCATTTTAACTTTCAATAATATACTCATACTTAAGTATTACTTGTATTCAAAAGGCCACATACATACAGATACAAAGTATATACAATTACGATCAACAGAAATATCAAATAATTCATGTACATGTGAAATGATTCAATAACTCTTGTGTTGCAATCTTCTTTAACGTCGGCCAATCTATATTCATGTGAGCTTTCCAAAATCGGTGACAATGTGACCATGTGCTAGCAGGAAACTGAGGAGTCGATATTCCATGAAATATATTAGCAAGTATTCGACCTGTGATTGTCATATCCAGACTAGATTCATGTACACGTAAAAAGTCTCTGACTGTAGACTGCACCTGAGCACCCTTTGAACAAAAATATATAAAAACAATAAAATATGTTTAGACCTGAATGTAATAAGCATTTATCTTAAGCATCAAAAGGAAAACAGTCAGAATTCACTTCATCATCATCAATATCAACATAGGACTAGGGATTACTGCGTAACGGTACAGCTTGCCACAGTTCACATCGGTACACCAAGTAAAACGGCAGTGAGGTGGAAGATGAGGATAAGGAAATCCAGTCAAAAGAAATATAAAGTAAGAGAAGAAAGAAAAGAGGAATGACAAGATGGTGAGATTCGGTATAGCGTCGTTAAGATGAGGAGAATGTGTGTGGGGATACATCTGCGCCACTGACATCGGTTCTGAGACATATGGTCAGCTAGAGTCTCCAACCACTGGTTCCTCTTGTTCTGCAGACCACAACCGCCTAGTCTACATCGCCCCCCATGGCTCAAACTAACAGTCAGAGACTTCATACATTGATGCCATGTTTTAGTCTAGCCACCTCGGGTCCTTTTCCAGCCTAGACCTACTTCGGCCAACATTGTGTGGCGGGGCAGACGGCAACTAGGCATACGTAACACGTGTCCCAACTATCTCAGTCGATGAGACGTTCACAACGGTGTAAACTGATTTACCTCTTCTCCCTAAAACTTTACGCCTGACTTTTGCGTTACTCATGTGGTAACACCACAGAATACGGCTAATACTACAAAGGCAACAGTGGTCAAACGCCTGAAGCCTTCTGATGTCTTCCACCCTGAATGGCCTTGTTTCACAGATATACAGTAAAACAGACCGGATTGCAATTTAATTCAATAATTCCCTAAACAGTTTATGATCTCATATTGTAACAATTATTACTGATCATAATTTTGATAGAGGTTTCCATTTCAATCCTACGACTAGTGAACTGGAGAATTATCGAACTCTGATCCTATCAAATACTGATGCACTGAGTTACCATCAATGGATTTTATCGAAACTCCCTATAACATTATATCAGCTAATTAAGAGAGATGACACACGTGTATTTCATTTCTTATTAGTCCAAAATGAATAACAATTTAATTGACAAAATACATGGAAAATGCAAATATCGTACAGCCGATAATAAAGTCAAGGTCATTCGCTATGGCTTGGTTATTGCTTCAGTCCACTTAGTGTAGGGACATCATGCACCAGGTCCTCGAGTGGGACTCAAAGGGGAAACGACGAGTTGGGCGTCCGAGGGTGACATGGAGAAGATCGTGCGAGGAAGAAATGAGAGCTTCGGGGCTGTCGTGGAGCCAGGTTGAGAAGACTGCAGAGAAAAGAGTGAAATGGCGACGTGCTACTGAAGCCCTATGTTCCGCTAGGAACCCAACGGAATAATAATAATAATAATGGTAGAGGGATGAAAAACCGAAAGTATCGTTACGATTGAAAACCATTACTTTGGTAAAATATTAACATCATTAGTTCATGATTCTACTCTTTTGCCTGGGTTATTTTGTGACTAATCCACCACTTACGTGAAATGATACTGTACAACATCATATTTTCAATTCTATTTATTTGGAAATAATTTATCATGAGGTACTCAATCTGGAACCCATTACTTTTGTCACTTATCGGAAACAAGTATCTGTAGAGCTAAACAGTATCATTGTATTTTGTTCTTTTAGCTATAGAACAAGATTATAAGGCAAATGATCGTTATTCAAAGAGTGAATGAATACAATGATTATTAGCATTCAATGAATTTAAGTAGTTCATTTCTGTCCAAAGTTGGACGTTATCAAAATAATTCAGCGGAACAGAACAGCAAAACAATATGTCACCATTTTATTTCATTGGCTGTATTCTTATGATAACGTTAAAGTCACAAGTTTTATCTTATGGGAATTTAATTTCTTTACATATTTATCGATATATTTCTCATTTATAGTTATTTGCTTGTTTGTGGCTAGCAGAGGAATCAAGGACACATGTTTCATCCCGTTTAGGAGTTGTCAGCTGAATTTATCTGCACCCCACTGTCGAGCGATGCTGTTCCCACTGAGACTCGTACCCATCGCTTGTAGCTTTGATGTATTGTTATGAGCTTTGACAAGTTGGACCGTTATGCAGTAATGGCTGGTACCATGTAGATATCGATAGATATATATAAACCTGTATACAGTTACCAGGGTGAAGGAAGGTTAATTACAGTCTCTTTCTGAGTACATAGGTCAGTTTGAAAAAAAAACTGGTTGTTCAAATGGTTGAAATTACTAACCATTTCAGTTAAAAGCCTAAATTTTAAGTTCACATATCAAACCTACTATTCCGTACAGAATTCATTATAATTTCAACATTCTATAATAGAATACATATTCATCAAGAAGTAATAGTTTAATTTGACAAGTATATTAGCTCCTAAACAAATTAATTCCTAGCTATTAACTTCATTTTGAACACCTACAAGTATTCTGGGTTAAGTGCCAGAGGTATTTTTTTTGTTACTTTGCTAGTGTTTCAGTGAAGTACAAATCATGTGCGGACCGAATTGCAACGCTACGCATCATGATAGAACAGAGCATAGAATGCCAGTCAACTTTCCACCTTACTTCAACTTCATTGACTTTGACTTCGACCGAGAAGTAATTTGGCAGTTGCTTCAACACTATGGAATACCCCAACCCGTTATCAACCTCATTGAACAACTATATGAACACGCCACATGCCAAGTAATTCACAATGGGGGGGCTCAGTGATTCCTTTGGAGGTGAAGACAGGAGTCAAACAAAGCTGTCTATCACCGATCATCTTCCTGATTGTGGTCGACTGGATCATGCAACAAACAGTGAGGAGCGAGAAGAGGGGGGATACCGCTGGCTGCACCGGGGAAATGATCCTAGAGGATTTGGATTTCACTGATGACTTGTGTCTACTGTCACACAAACTTGAAGATCTACAGGCGAAAACTAACAAGTTGACAGAAGAGGCAATGAATACGGGATTTCCTTCAAGTGAACATAGAGAAGACAGAGGTGATGAAGATACCCAACCAACAGCAGCAAACACCAATTACCATAAACGGGAGGAACTTAAAGGAAGTAGCCTCCTTCACCTATCTAGTTAGCACTGTTTCAACTACAAGTGGCGGCACAGAAGAGGACGTCAAAGCCAGGATCGTAAAAACAGCAAGACGCGCCTTCATTAACCTGAAATCAGTGTGGAGATCTAATGCACTCAGTACAAAGAACAAGATCCGGATTTTCAACACCAACTTCAAGTCAGTGCTTCCATGTGATGGTTTAGAAACTTGGCGCGTTACGAAAGGCATTCCCAACAAGCTACAGATATTCATCAACAACTGCCTACGCTGGCTCGATACTGAAGCTCAGATAGCCAGAAAGAATAAGCAACAAGGAACTCTGGCTGGTGACGAACCAACCAAGAACCTATCAAATATGCACTGGAAGGAAGTGGAGATGGATTAAGCATACACTGAGAAGGTTGACTGGGGACATCACGCGTCAGGCCCTCTAGTGGGACTCAAAGGGGAAACGACGAGTTGGGCGTCCAAGGGTGACATGGAGAAGATCGTGCGAGGAAGAAATGAGAGCTTCGGAGCTGTCGTGGAGCCAGGTTGAGAAGACTGCAGAGAAAAGAGTGAAATGGCGACGTGCTACTGAAGCCCTATGTTACACTAGGAACCCAAGGGACAAATGGCAATAATAAAATGTTTCACTAATGTGTAGTTTATTGAATCTTCATTACTTGACAAAAGTGTCAGTTCTTGTTCATTAGAGTTTAAGTCAAGTGCTATTCTCTTCATGAATTGAATATCATTGTCATTTTATTTTTTCGTAACACTGATTTAAAGCTGGAGAATTAAACTTTAAAAAAAAACTGGTTGATACTTATGTTTTGTAAACCGACTGTTGATCAAATGATAGAATGTTTGAAATAAACTGAAATTATTTATGGGTTTGTAAATAATCAGGATTGATTGTCGATAAGATAATGTGGAACCATTATGTTAGTAATGCAGAAATCAGTCATAGACTCTTACGTAGGAAAATAAGGTTGGTTGATAAGTTTGTGAACTTTCATTGACTCAGGTGATTGGGATATGTGTGACTATCTTACGCCCTTGTAAAATGTCTACTAAAGTCGATAAAGACTGGAAAAAAGGTTGAAGACGCCTAGACTTAAACATGACATCAGTCTATAAAGTCTTCGATTGTTAGTTTGACCAGTGCGTACCCATGACCTCACCGGAGATTGAACCCAGGACCTTCCGATTCCGTAGCCAGAGCGTCACCAATGAGCTGCTAGGTAGGGATCCAGGGATCTATATCTCTTACTTCTGTCAGTTCACTACATAGCGTGACTACTATCCGTATCGAGCTCATGGGTGCGCACTGCTGAGTAGTCCCATGCTAGGACGAAACAGCTGTCCAGTGCTCCCAGGTTTTCAATGTTTCTTCAACTGATATGAGTCCATGATGAATACCAACCTGAAACCAATGAATAAATCTCCCCATAAACCTCCAAATTGAAAATTAATTTAACTTTCAAGTGAATCAAGCACAACAATTTAGTTCAATGGGAAGACCGCTTGAAAAGAAATACACTAATTAATGTAGATCAACCCGATACTTGTTCATGTAATACTAGTCAGAAACCACACTTATTACATCAGAGACTATCACACTGTCTTAGATGAATGTTTAGTATTTATTCACCAATACAATTCTCCTGAGAAACTTCAAGTTTTCAAGATTTTTTATCTATCTACTTGGAAAAAAAAACACCGGCAATATAGAACACATATAAGTATGGTGGAGAATATTTGTAACTCAGGTGGATGATCTCGGTTGTATTTTGTTCTCTGAGTTGAGTTGTTTAGTTGTGAAGTTTTCATTGTCTTTCTAAACGACATCGTCAGCACTAACTTCGTACTGAAGATGATGAAAGCTCTACGATTAAATAACTCAGCTCAGAGAACACAATACAACTAAGATAAAAGAAGTATTCATCACTAATTTGAATAACTCTATTGACACATTAAGAGAACATATGAAATGTATTGATAACTTGAAAATGACACTTGAAGGCAATAAAATAAAAGTAGAAATGTAAACATAAACAAAAGAAAATGTAAAATGATTAAACTAACTTGACTTTCTGTTATATTTGGTGGCCAATGAAATTGAGATCGACAATTTTCAAGAATAACTAACATTTCATTTGATAAGGTAGGATTGATCCCAGCAAAATGTGATTTAATCAATTCATGTACAACCAATGATTGTTGTTTGCAATATTCAGTACAATTAGATTCTAGTAAATTCTCAGAAAATTTAACTTTAATATCATTATTACTCTCTAAAGGATAGACATCTTCAAATGTCGGTTGGGCAACTGTACCTAAAGTCAATGTCAATTGTTCAATACTGTGTAAAGCAGCTTTCTCAGTTTGTTGTAAACGTTTATTTAAATAGGTTAGACAAGTATTTAAACGTTCATTTGTAATTGGTACCTGTGATCCATGAATCCATAACCATAAATTCCATTGTGAAAAATTAACACTTATTCCAGTACGATAAGTTTTATTGAATTCTCCAGAAGTGTTATTCATTTGAAATGAATCCCATTCTAAATTTTTCAACTCTTTTCTCACTACATTAGGTTTCCAACCCCAACGATTAAATAGTTGTGGTAAGTTTAATTTCAATTGTCTAGGATATTGATTATCAAGCATATTATTTTCTATAATTTGTTCATTTTGCCATAAACTAAGAGCACTTGCTATAGCTAAACAACGCTGTGAAGCATAAGCTATTTCATTATCATTTCCATGAAAGTCGACAGTCGCTACCTAAATATATGGAATAATAAGAGGAAGAAAGTAAATACCTAAAGGTAAACAACAAAAACTACATGGAGAATATCTACTAACATAACTGTAAAAGTTAACCAATGCAAGAGCACAATGACATCTCCAGGATTAAATGACCTCATTTTCTTTCACAGCTGTAAACAGCTCACCGTTCAAATGAACTATTAGTGGTAACAGTGACATGAAGTACTTTATATAGAAACCAATGAATCCAGGATTAACAATGAGATAGTGAATGAGTCGAAGAAACACTGAATTAATAATCACAAACCTTAGTCAAAATCAATAGCAGTTTATATGTGATAAGATAGGAACTTCTACAGCTGTGGAACGGTGTGTGTTTGGGGATAGGGAACAACAAACAGACAGTAGTGTAAGAGAAGGGGTTCTTAAAGAGTTATTAAGTTGCGTAACCACACAAAAAAACTAGAAAATCGTTAGGCTGAGTGATTAACAGTCAGTGAGTAATTGATGAAGAGATGATGATGCAATCGAAGAAAGGAGGAGGACGAGGAATCTCAACTTCTTAGGTGATTCTCCTGCTGACACTAAAAAGAAGGACATCAAACAGTCTAAGGAGAATATTCTTTGCATCAACACTGAAACTAGTGTTCTCTTATCACCCAACGATTTCAAACAACTCAAAGGAGAAACTTTCGTATCTGACCATTTGTATGTGCATGTATCGATTCACCTGCTCTTCTGAAGCCAGACATATAGGTCGTTCGACGCGACTATTATCCAAAAGGGTTCAAGAACACTATCTCTCGTGGTTGTAAAGAGGCAATAATCGAGCCATAAGGAGTGCAATAATTGAACACATCATGAACACAGATCACGCTATCTCAACAACCTCCTCATTTAAAGTCATTTATAAAATGAAAAGAAACCTCCCAAAGACTGTATGTCTTCGTATTTTCTGCATCGCCGAAGCCCTTGCCATCCAAATGGAGAAACCTGAACTGTTTACACAAAAGATTGTTCAACCCCTTCTTTCATGGTCTTACTTTTCAGTCTCCTCTACTCCTCCCCTTTTTTCTTTTCATTTTTCTGTTTTGACACTAGTCACTTCTTCAGTAATATGCTACTCATTCTTGTTGCTATGTCTTGTCTGATCACAATTCAGATTCTAATTATGTCGTCATGTTATGAAACTTCTTGTTCAAACTTATTTTGATTAATATTCACTACTTTTTGTGATTGATTGTAATGACAACTCATTTGTTGACACTATCTATTTCTGTTGCCAAGCTTGACAAACCGTTTTTAACTATCAAATCCTTAAATTAGAAAAAAAAATGTATAAATTTGCGATTGTACAGCTTTGAAAATGAAATCGCCGAAAAGAGACTCTTCGCTGATATATATATGAGTACACTGGTTAGGTTGAAAATGTGTGCTAGTGACAGCTTCCGCAAACCGTAATAAACATGGCGTTTTTTATTTGTTGATTATCCTGAAAGATTGACAAACATCTTTTTGATGTCCTGTTTCCATCAAGTGCCTAGCTACTACGCTGGTAAAGACCTTACTACCTTTCGGACAGATTTCTCAGAATATACTCATAAAATCCAGTAAACTCCCTTCTTTCGGTTCTTCCTATGCACTTGCTTCCATAAGCACACGTGAATTGATAAACACAGTTGAAGGTCATGTGAGATGCATATTTGTCTACTTTCGACTGTGTTATTGGACATTCTGTATTGTGAACTGAGATCTGTCTGGCAGCAGGGAAGATCTTTCTCTGTACAGCTTTTATTCTTCTGTATATTCTCTCATCACGTTCGAATACTAGACGAAAGAAAACAGGTTTCCCTTCAACAGTTGAATGCTTCATTCCCTAAATAAATCCTTCTACATGCTTCATGATGAATTTCTTCGGATATCCATTCTCCATAAGTGTCTCCTCAATTATACTGAATCCTTCTTTTTGCTTATCTTTTGAGGATGGAGTTTTTATTTCCAGTGAAGAGCGTCCTGACTAAACCATGCTTATTGCAGACAGGATAGAAACTATTGTAGTGAAGGCATTGACCAGTCCATGTGTCTTTCCTGTGGATAGTTTTCTCAACTGTGCCATCATATCTCCATCTCAGATCCAAAATATTGAATGTATTCTCATTTTCGTATTCCATTGCAAAACTCATATTTGGATGAGCACCACTGAAGGTGTCGAACAACTTTGACGCATGATTCATATTGTCATAAACAATGAAAGTATCACCAACCGTTATACAAAATGAGCTCATTTTATTCTGCAAATTTCTTTGTTTTTCAATTGTTCTAATTTGCAAAGGCAACTAAATGTATAATTGTGATAGTTGATTTATAATAAAACAAATGATTAACGTTTGTTTTAAAACTGGATAAAGTAGTGACACTTTATGAAAGTATATATGTAAGTTTTAATTCTCATTTCTGTTTCGATAGCAAAAATCAAAGTGTATCACAAGTGCATCTACTCATGCATCCTCGGTATATGAACATACTATTACTTATTTTCACCGCAGTTTAAGATACTAAACGCTGATTGATCCATTTTACACTATTAATATGCTATTTTGTTTTCCCTGGTCAAGGCTCTTAAAAGAGTATATAAACAACTTAACTTATAACTATAATCGAACTACTCAATTAAAGCAAATATACCTTCAATCCCATTGTCTTTTTCTTCTAGCATCAGCTGAGTATCATGTTGAGAAGTCATTGTTCTATCGTTAATCGTATCTCATTGGAGCATTATATCATGCATAAATAGATAATCTCAGATCAAAATACATTGACACATTATTAATTATCATTTGACTATCTGAGATAGCTGTAGTTTGGCAGATTAGTATATATACTGGGTGATGATTTAAGGTGAAGTGAAAATTCGGACCGCGGCCGGATTCGAACCAGCTCAGGTGGTAGAGCATCTAGCCGGAAACCCGATGGTTGCTGGTTCGAATCCAGCCGCGGTCCAAATTTTCACTTCACCTTCAATCATCACCCAGTATAAATACTAATCAGACAAACTACGGCTATCTCAGATAGTCAAACGATAATCAATTTGATGCTCCCCCTCTCCGACTTAGTTAGATTTAAATTGGGACGAGAAGTCTTGACTAGGCAGCCAGTGTGAATACGGTCAAGCAGTACTAACGCGTCACCAATTCATATGGTAGTTGGGAAAAACCCTCGATGATTGTAGTGAAATAAAAATGTGGTCAGCAGTCGGATATCGTAGGTCAGTTGGTAGAGAATCGGGCCGGTAATCCGGTAGTCACTGGTTCGAATCCGGCCACGGTTCAAATTTTCATTTCACCTTCAATCATCACCAAGTATAAACACTATTAATTAGTAACATTAAATGTAGCAAGATTAATAATCGTTTGGAAAATATAATAGAAATATTCGAAAGTCAGTGATATAATATGCGATGGGAGCTGTGAAGAAAGTTGCCTAGGAGGTTATCTAAAGGAATCCGTAGTCTTTTCATACTTATCAAAGTTGCATTTGTTACTAATTTGATCATTATTATCTCTCATGATGATTAATATTCTCTGCTTATCCAACATGAAATGAAATACATCTGGTCTGTTATTTTCAAAACTACTTCGTACAGCTGATAACTAGTTAGTTGCAACAGGTACCCTTTTGGTATGTTTTACACACAGTTAAACAAACTTTAATTGAAATCAACTTAAGAGAGAACTCTGACTATGATTTTAGTCAAACAATAGCCTGAAGTTAGTATTTTAACAATGAGAAGCATTGGAAAAAGTCTATTGAAACACTGCATTGATCATGAAACTATATTCAAAGTTATTGAATTGACAATAATATCCATCTTGTTAAATATATGTGACATAGTAAATATTTACAAGATGATATTTCAAGCATAAACTATCCCTCATAATCATATATGCAAATGAAATCTAGATAAATGTAATTAATAGAAAACAATTAAACCGTTATTCAGACAAAGAGACACAACCTATAAACATATGAATTCATCACCGTTCACAATCTTCAAGATTTATAAATTAAAAAGGAATCCGTTGGTAAGGTAAGTCGTTCAGTTGTGATAGCTGTATGAAATATACAAAACATTTAGTGTTAATGACTAAGCTATAAAAAATAATCATAGTTTCAGGGGATAATAATTGAAATCGAAACTGGTGATCTTCCTGATTGTGGTCGACTGGATCATGTAACAAACCGGGAGGAGCTACAAGACAGGCATAAGCTGTTTGATAGATGAAAAGACCCCAGGAGAAGATTTGGCTTTCAGCGATGATGATTTATGTCTGATGTCTTGTCGCACAAACTCGAAGATCTACGGGCGAAAACTGACAAGTTGGCAGAAAAAGCAGAGTAGTGAAGGAAGACAGGACATCTTTCAGGTGAACGTAGAGAAGAAAGAGGTGATGAAGATACCCAACCAACAACAACAAGCACCATCAACGAGAGAAATCTAAAGGAAACTGTCCCTTCCACCTACCTACCTTTGCAGCATCTCAACTACAGGCAGCACAAGCACAGATGAGCACGTCAAGGCCAGGATCGGAAAAACAGCAAGACGCGCCATCATTAACCTGAAATCAGTGTGGAGATCTAATGCACTCAGTACAAAGAACAAGATCCGGATTTTCAACACCAACTTCAAGTCAGTGCTTCCATGTGATGGTTTAGAAACTTGGCGCGTCACGAAAAGCATTCCCAACAAACTACAGACATTCATCAACAGCTGCCTACGCTCACTCAATACTGAAGATCAGATGGATGGCCAGAAAGAATACGCAACAAGGAACTCTGGCTGGCAACGAACCAACCAACAACCCGTCGCTCAAAAAATATGCAGAAGAGGAAAAGGGAGATGGATCGGACATACACTGAGAAGACCGACTCGGGACATCACGTGTCAGGCCTAACCGTCGATTGGAACCCCAATGGAAAACGACGAGTTGGGCGTCTCAGTTGAAGATGACATAGAAGAGATCGTGTGAGAAAGAAATGAAAGTTACACTGTAGAACCCGACGAGAACTTAGTGAAAAGAATATACCAGGATAGTGACCTTGATATACACAGTAGAAGAAAGTCCTTAAGAAGTGGTTTCCACAGATCTACATACAGTTGAATTAACTGTTGTTATTGTGTTATAACGAAACACCGGTGAAACGATGCAGTATCACGAACACTGACAAAAAGCTTTATTAAATGAATATAGTTGTGTAACTTTATACATAGGAAAATTATAGAGTGTAGTAATAACTTTTAACAAAAAAGACACTTACTGTATAACTAGAATGCAGCATAGAAAGTATTGGGTTGTCAGGTTCCAATTCCATGTAAGCCAGTATTGTAGCTAAACTTTCAGGTTTAATATCTACTTGTTCACTGATAGACTGGAGATTAATCGTATGCACATGACCTTGACATGGCATTTGATCTTGCCTCTGAGTTCCAATAGGTCGACGACATATACACTGAAAGTCTTTAAATATTAATGCTAACAAACGTTTCAGTAAAACAAGATCGATATTGTTGACAAAAATATGTCGCCGTATATTATTTGCTTCACACGGATCATTAACTAAAGAGGATGGCAGAAATGCATGACAATATGACGCTTGCTGTTTACGTCCTACACGACCAATCTCCTAAAAACAAAGAACAGCAATAAACAATCAAGCGAAACAAACATCTGTGAATAAAGAATATCAAGAGTTGCTTCAGTGGATAATGTTTTGGCATTTAAAACAATAGGTGTGCGGTTCGAGCTCCAATGGCAACATTATCACTCACTGGGGTGCAGATCCACCCAGCTGATGAGTCTCAAAAAGAGTGAAACACGCATCCAGAATTCCACTGCTAGGCACGACGATCAGTAAGCAGTATGCAAATCAGTAGCCACTAGTTGGTTACACACATAACAACACAGAACCACGTATTATAGCCTTATGACCCGCTAAGGCTGCCTACTGTCTCGATTCTAATTCAATTTCACCACAGATATTCTCATGGAGGTCTCCCTCTCGTCACCTGACTACACAGAGGTTGACCTAATCACAGGAGAATTTTCGTGAAACCTAGAATATGCAGTCCCGTTAAGTGAAGACGGTGAAAAGATGCAGAGTCTTCTGGACACTTTCAGTGTCAATTTCAGAATGTTTGGGATGCGGTTCTCATCACCCAGATGCAGATTTCTCCTCCAGCATTGGTCTTCAACGGTCCCACAGCTAACAATAGAGTGTAGTGGATGGGTGTGTCGACCCCTTCACTTACCTGGGAAGTAGGATATCAGCCCTGGTGGCTCAGTGGTCGATTAAATCTCTGTACGAATAGAAAAGGCTCGGCTGGCTTTGGCCAATTTACGCCACCTATGGCGCTGCCGTGATATCCTATTGTCTATTAAGGGTCGCATGTACTGAACAGCAGTCTGGTCTGTTCTACTGTATCGCTGTGAAATATGGTCATTGAAGGTAGAAGACATGAGAAGGCTTCAAGTGTTAAACACCGTTGCCTTCATAGTATAGGCTGTATTCATTCCGTGGTGTCACCACGTGAGTAATGCAGAAGTCAAATATAGAGTTTTAGGGAGAAGAGGTATATCAGTTGATACTGTTGCGAACCTTCATCGACTGAGATGGTTTGCTCCAACATATGTTACGTATGCCTAGTCGTCAATCGCCTCGTCACACAATGTTGACCGAAGTAGGTTCAGGCTGGAAAATCACTCAAGGCGGTCAGACTAAAACATGGCATCAATGCACGAAGTGTTTGACTGTTGGTTTGAGCCATGTAAGGTGATGCAGACTGGGTGGTTGGAGTCCGTGGGACAAGAGAACCCAGTGGTTGGAGACTCTAGGTGATATGGCTCAGGACCGATGTCAGTTGTGCAGATGTATACACACATTATCCTCATCTTAACGACGCTATACCGAATCTCACTATTTTTCTTATTCTCCCTTTCTCTCTTTTCATACTTTATATTTCTTTCGAGTGAATTTTCTTTTCTTCATCTTCCACTTCACTGCCTTTTTACTTGATGTACTGATATGAACTGTGGCAAGTTGTACCGTTTCGCAGTAATCCCTGGTCCTACTTTGATAGCTGATGATGACGATATGACCCACAATGCTACATACCATATCAACACACTGAAGTGGCAGCCAAAAAAACATAAAAAGTAATGAAACATTAAAAAATAGTAACAACAGTTTCAAAACACCATTTGAAAAGGATAGAAGGAGAGTAGGAGAAAAAGAATGCATGATACTGTGATTTAGGCAAAAATACAGCACCACCAAGATAAATTAAATTAATTCACCAGCCCATCCTCATTTATTTGTCAACTTACACATTCCTATCAAAATTCACAATCGAGAAAGAGTCAAACAACAAACTACCATTCCTGGATGTTCTAGTCAGTAGGACAAATGCCGAAAGGCTGGAAACCCAAGTGTACAGGAAGCCAACATATACTGACCAAATCCTCAACTGCAGTAGCAACAACGCAAAAGACCAGTTGCCTGCAGACTCTATTCAAAAGAGCGAGAACACACTGCAGTACAACAGCTTCACGCAGAAACGAAGAAAATTACTTGATGTCCATCCTAAAGACGAACGGTTACCCACGAAACTTTATCACAAAATGCCTATCCCCTACATCATCAACTACAAAGTCATCGACAGAAATCAATAAACCCATCATCCTACCATACATAAAAAATATATCAGAAATCACAACAAGATTACTGAGATCACTTGGAATTAGTATGGCCACTCACAGACCAACAAATTCCCTTCAAACACCATTATGCGGACCAAAGGATGCAACAAGCAAAGACAAACTGAATATCACTTACAAAATCAACTGCAATAACTGCAGTCAACACTACATTGGACAAAGTGGTCACCCTATTCGCCTTCGTCTACATGAACACCAATTGGCCACTAAACGCCACGACATTTCATCACTCATTTCAATGCATGTGGATAACAACTATGGACATGAATTCAATTTCGACAATGTAGAAATTTTGGATGGACAAAGGAAACATAAAGAATATGAGGGGATTCCTAGAAGCGTGGCATTCAGGTCAATTAGTCAGCAATCAATAGATGTATAGACAGACCCAATGTATTAACCAACAAGAAGAAAAGTAAATAACAGGAAGGTCAGAGGTCAAGCAGAGGGACAGCCAACAGGAAAGTCTATACAATCAATGACACAACGATCAAAAGAAACAACCAATCATGGACCACTTCGTTAGGACAAGCTACTAAATCACTCACGGAGAGACACTGACAGCTCACTTCATGCTGAAGTTAGTGCTGATGATGTCGCTGTCTAGCAAGACGATGAAAGCTTCACGATTAAACAATCCAGCTGCTCAGAGAACACAATACAACCAAGACCATCCGCCTGAGCCACAAATATTCTCCACTATTTTACATTCTCAAACAACAAACACGAAGAACAAGTGACTTCGTATATCAGTGAGATGCAGTAAACTGATAAAAACTAATTGAGTCATTAGTATCCATTAGGAAATTTCGTCGATTCCAAGTTTATCAGAGCTAGTATGATATACCATGTAAGTGAAGTGGTTATTTCATGACGACTAACTGGATCCAAATGATAAGATCAAGAAACGTTCACTGGATTCAGATGTATAACTGAATAGTTGAGATATAGGTGTTTGGACAATTGATTTATATTTCAAAAGTGACAAACAAAATCAATTAGTATAGTTTCTGTTAAAAACAGTGTACTCTCTCACAGTATGTTCGTACTTAAAAATCCTTTAATGAGACATTTTATGTAAGAGCTTAGGATTTTGAAATTGAAAACTTTCACGTTAACCTGTGAGAGTTGATTACTAGGGATCATATTGGAGTTCTAATACCCATAAGGTAGGAATACATTGAGTAAGATAGAAAGTAGAGTTGTTAGTGATTACATCTCATAAATCCTACTTCGCAGAGTTACAAAGCAGTGCTACTAGATGATATATTGGTTTTCTGTTTAGTTCCTGAGTGTTATATAGTACGCATGCTTCTAACTAGCAGTTAACCTCTACACTAAATATTACTGACTCCGAAACCTCAAACGAAAATAGATAGAAAGAAAGAAGACTAGTCTCTATTAAAGAGTTTATTGCCTCCGAAAAGATAGAAAATAACCAGAAACACATATGTACACATACCTAATATTTGACCCTGTCTAGAATTTAGAATATTAACGTATTAACGGTCAGTGTTGTAATACTACTTGCTCTACTAACAGACTTCAAAATCCCACACAACACAGCGTAATCTTCTTTCCGAAGTTTAGGGAAGAACAAGGAGGAGCATAAGAATTAATGAAACGTAGGAGTAGACGTTGTTATGTCAGACCGTCTGAATTTCCCAATATAAAAGGTCAAGCTAAGGATATTCCTAAGAACTAGTAAGATATGTGAGAACCAAGAAGGATCAGAAGAAAAATATACAACAAGATGGATCATGTTTGATAAATTCTCTACAACACAGCATAGTTGAAACACTGTATAACTTAAAAATCTCAACTAAAACTGAATACTATTGGGGATTAAAAAGCCACAGCGTGTTTTCATTGAACTCAGTAGTTTTCAGAAGACTTCATTAAACTAATGGGCTTTCTGTATCACAACTTTACATTCTTTTGTAAAATTACTAAGAATTAGGGAGCGAAACGTATGTTTAAATCTTCCATAAAGTGCCAACCCACAAACTGAGTTTTAGAACCTTAGGTATGATGATCTTATAAGCGGTAACTCATTGTTATGAAATAAAATACGAAATTTCTTGAAATATATTCAATTATTTTAAGATGAAAGAATATGCTCACTAATGATATTGAAGGAGAATATCAACACCATATCACCAGTTATCTAATAGAGTTACTTAATGTCACTATTCGCATCGTTAAATATAATTATATAGGATTCGCTCTATGGAGAATTGGAGTAAACATATTTTAGAACTATGAAAAAGTAACAGTTAATTCGTTCAAACCCTCAAGTTGTTCTTCAACGGAGTTTTTATCCTTAAGATAACTATCTGCTTAGTAATTGGATAGAGAAAATCCAAAAACCTTAAAACGTTTATTTTTATTTCAGCGGAAATACTTTATATCTAAGTATAATCAATCAGTGTACGATATACTAAACAAGAAAATCAAATTTATGACAAATATACTTTAATAATAACTAACTTGTATGTAATTCTCAAAGGATTTTGTAAGTGAATAGTGTATTACAGCCTGTAAATCAGGTTTGTTCAGTCCCATACCAAAAGCGCAAGTAGCGATTAGCACACGTATTTTACCATTCATAAATTTCTTTTGTATACGAGATCGTTCATTTGTTGTTTGACCAGCATGATATGCAGCTGTTGTCCAACTCATACGTTTTCGTCCAACCTAAAATAAGAAGAATATACTTGGTTTAATATCTAGGTCTTATTGAATTCTAATTAGATGCTTATATGTTATGGAGAAGAATGCAAGAAGAATGCAATATTACTGTCGAAACAGAAATGGGATAAAATAAAAAACGCTGATTAATAAATACCCTATCTTTTGTGGTAAAGCTAAAAAAATGACGTTTTGGTCAGGCAAATGGAAAAACGAAAAATCCCCCACAAAACTGTTAAGATTTAAGTTATCACAAACAACGTAGAACGCAAAACACAGGTGTATCAGCTCATACTACCATACGATAACGAAGTATACAAAGAACAAGTGGACAGATAAAGATTAACATCAAAGTAGACGAAATTGTGTGTGTGTGTGTGAGAGAGAGAGAGAGAATCTGAAGACAACGCTTAGTACAAACTTTCAAGCCTTAGAAGATATCAAGGAGTGAACACATCTGCACCACTGTGACCAATTTTCAGCCATGTTACCAACAGTCCTCAACCACTGATTATTTTCGTCTTGGAGACCCCAATCAGGTAGTCTACATCTTCCCACACGACTGAAACCAACAGTCAGGGACTTCATAAACTGGTGGCACGTTTTGGGCTCCCCAACCTGAACCTTCTTTTAACGTAATCCAACTTGCTCAACCAGCATGGCGGGTCAAAGTAGGGAGTGGTTTGGTATGAGCAACACATATCCAAGTCACCTCAGCCGATGGAGATTCACAACGTCATCAATCGACTTACCTGTCTTGTCTTATACTCTTTAGCTGACATCACTACTCACACAGTGATTCAACCAAACGTGACCAATGCTACGAAGATCCCTATAATCAAAACATTCTAACCGCTTTATTTTTTCTACTTTCAACTACACTGTCTCATAGGTGTATAACAGGACAGACGAGTTACCAAAACAAAATAATATAAAGAAGTAAGAGGAATAAAGAGAAATAACAGGCAAATTAAGACTTATCTTGATGGGAGTGAATGCATACGTCATTCGAATCACCTTTGAAACGAATGAAACATGGATACTTCACATCTCATTAACCCAAACTAGCCACACAATGAAAAGCAAATTTCACTCCAAGCCGTGTTGTCCTCGTTATCGTTAACTACTAACCAACCTAATCATACTACAAAGATCATCTTAGGTTGCAGTAGGTAGTAAATGGATATGTGATACATTTCTAAGAAACTCCTGTGAGTAAAAGCTCACACTCTCATCGACTGACTTAGCTATTTTGTGTAGAAGTAAGCACCCATCCTTAATCAATCGATCAATCAGTGAGTATTAACAGAGTATTTGGCATTACTGCCTAACTGTCCACTTTTCCACAAGACACGTCAAGATGAAAGACAAAGAAGCGCGTAGAACAAATAAATTAGTGTAATGGGAAAATTAAGATACAGATAACGTGTAGATGAATGCACGTTAATGAGTTTCATTCTGAGATAAATCAACTATAACTTTGATAGGTAGCAGCAAAAAGGCAGCTAATAGGAAAATCGTTTACAGATCATGATTTATACATATACTGACATGATAACCTAACTGGACAAATTCGAAATCATCATATTTATGGCTTAGTTTTCTGAGGGTTATATATATATATATAATGTATATAATATATATATATATATATATATATATATATATATATAATGTATATATATATATATATATATATATATATATATATATACATTTGTCTAATAAAGTTGTTGTTCTTACAGTCACAGGCCAGTCTTTTGTATTCTGACATCTCTGCGGCTCAGTGAAGCAGAAGGAACTGAGGGAGGTCAGTCGTAACAGTATCCAGTTGACGTGTCTATTGAGTCGCAGTATCAGCATACCAACGCACGTAATTTCATTTGGTCACAACAGGTTCCCAATAATCGATTTCGCTTAAGACACTAACTACAACCCTCAAATCTAAATTCCTTTACATGCCTCAGATCTATAGTGAAAGACTTCATAGACTGATGTCATGTTTAAGTCTGCGTGACTTTAACATTTTTTCCAGTCCAAGCCTACTTCAGCTGAGATTGCGTAACAGGGAAGACAGTGACTAGGCACGAGTTGGACGTGTTCCAGCCATCTGAGTCGACGAAGGTTTTCAAGTTTACCAAATGGCTTACCTCTTTTACGTAAGACTCTACGCTTGACTTCTATGTCATTCACATCATGGTACCGCGATACACAGCTGATGCTAAGAAAATCTCATTTTTTTCTACCTTCAATGATTATGTCTTACAACTACATAGCAGAAAAAGAGTCAACAGTTGCGCAATACATTCGGTCTTTTATAATCTGTTGGATATCTTTAACATCTTGCGATTGAAAGTAACTCATTAAAACCAATGAACTACAATGTTAAATATTATTATGCTTTCTCCTCTTCAACATTACAGAGATCTTTTTCCCTCCATAGCAATCTGATATAACAAAACATAACAGCTGATAACTTTTCTTATTCAGAAGCAAAAAGTAATTATTATTATTATTATTATTTTAAATTATCACCTACCTTATCGACTACTTCTTGAAGTGCTGTACGAATATAAGATGCCAAGCGTTCTGTTTGTTCTCTTGTCGCACAGTAAATTAACACACCACCAGACAGTTGACTAAACGGTTTACTTATTAACAACCTTAACAATGCTTCATCTTTTCGATTATCCATTGATGCTGATATTGTTAAATGGGATGGTAGAGGTGTTACAACAGGTTGAACATAACCAGGTTGATATAATGTCGTTTCATCAATTTTATCACCAATAAATTTTGTCGGATTAATAATTCCCAAGTTCTCACAAATATTTTGAATAACATTCGGTGTACACGTTGCAGACAGGCCTAGAAATAAACGAAAAAAAACACACTTGATCAGCGTAAACTAAAGTAGATTTATAACCCTAGGAGGATAATACTTCTTTACTCTGACTGACTGATTGACAAAAACAATGTAGAACCTCGCACATGGGTGCATCACCTCAAGTTGCCACACTTTACAGTAGAATACACAGAACAGGTGGATACAATAAGACTAATAGCAGAGTAGACAAAGTTGTGTGAGAGAATAAACAATCTGAAGAAAAAGGTTAGTGTGAATATTCAAGCTTCAGAAGATGTCAAGGAGTGAATACACCTGCACTATTGTGACCGATTTCCATTCATGTCACTAACAGTCCTCAACCACTGATTTCTTTCGTCTAAGAAATCACAAGCAGACAATCTACATCGCCCCATTCGACTGAGGCCAACAATAAGAGACTTCATGGACTAGTGCCATGTCTTGGTCTAGTCACTCTGAACCTTGTTCCCACTTAATTCAACTCCTCCCTAGCATGGCATGTCGAGTTAGATGGTGGCTCGGCACGCGTAATACATGTCCAAGTCATCTCAGTCAACTAACGTTCACAACGTCATCAATCGACTTGCTTGTCTTGCCTAGTACCCTTTACCTGACTTAAACATTGCTCACACGGTGATTCAACCAAACGCAAGCAATGCTACGAAGACATCTACGGTTAGAAAACTGTAACTGTTTCGTGTCTCCTATTTTTAACGGCCATTTCTCGGAGGCGTATTACAAGACAAAACGGACTGTAGCGCGGTATACTCGTTATTTGGTAGATATCTGGATGTCTCGCTGACTCTATACATGACGCAAGTTGACAACGTCAGATAGGTCTTCTGTAATCGAGCAGGGGTTTCTTCAGCAAACAACCCCTTCGGGTCGACGCAACTCTCCAAGTAAGTGAAGTAAGTCGACACATTCCACCACTGCATCCCCTATCTTCAAGTTGGGAGTAGCTGCAAAGCAATCCTGGAGCATCATCTTACATCTGACAGGAGACATCGAAATGCATGCCAAACATACACAGATTTCTGCCTAAGGTATTCAGAAGACCCTGTGTTTCGTTAGTGTCTTCGCCTTGTGGGACGATATCACCTGCATATTCCAAGTCAACTTGATGATCTCCAGGGAGTAGGTCGATCCCTGCAAAGCCGGACGTATCGATTAATACGTCCATGACGAAGTTAAATAGGAATGGTGACAGTGCACATCCCTGGCAGACACCATTAGTTGTTGTCAGCTCTCCATAAGCTCTGACACGCCTGTGTGAGTTCGAGTAGAGAGCTTTGATAAGCATTACATTTTTTCTTTGAAAACTATTAAAGAAAATTCAGCCAAATTGGTGAAGAAACAGAAGTAAAACAAGGTGAATCCATTTCCTCCAACATTTATAGAGTTATAATACAGTTGTTTTACGATATATTTCTTGTTTCTGTGATAGAATCTTCGAAAAACTATCAGAGAATAATAAACTGGTTCCTGGAATACTACACATTGGTTGACGTCTATAAAAACTAGCACAAATCGAAACGCCGCACACAAAGAATTAAGTAATTATGTAAACGCGTGACCAGAATAGCATAGAAAGTCAATGGACCAGCACAGCTGACAATAACATTCTTTTGCAATGCATTTACCGATAAATTCAGAAAAACGACACCAGTAAGATATCGAACATCATAGGACTACATTAAATATCATTATGCCTTCGACAAAACAAAACCCAGTCTAATACAATGACCTTTAGCCTTGATGATTTATAAATTATGAAATGTATACAACACATAGAGACAATTTACAGCGGAATGATTTGAAATGGGTTTTCGTGAGACATGACAGTTACAAGTTTAATCATGCACGAAATCTAGAATGGAATAAAACTACCCGTGCTGTAAGGTGTTTTATTCGTCCTCTGGCTAGTGTCAATCCTCAAGTGAGAACTCCTTTCAAACTGATCAATATCTCTTAAAACAGTTCTAGAAGGTATATATTTGTAGGATAGGGAAGCGATATTCTTTCAATATTGCAACAACCCAAGTAGTAGCACAATATTGCAACTCAGTTCGGTATGGGCTTTTAAACTAGACTGAGTCACACTTCATAAGTAACGGTTTATGATACCACCTGGCTGTCCAGACTGAAGTCGGGAAGTTGGGATTACAACCTGCAACCTAATAATTACAAGTCAATCAAATCAATGAGTTACACTACAACCAATGTGAAACGTAGTCACCACTCCTATATATATCCGGACAGAAAGATGCAGATAGATAGAGATAGACAGAACCAACGTACCACCTTGAACAGAAGTGCAACTCCCTCAAGCTGCCATACTTCACAGTAGCATTTACGTTAAAAATCCTATGCAAAATTTTCCATATACCTACTTTAAACGTCAATGTTGACTAGATAGATAGATATCTTGCGATTACCACTTTTAAGTCTTTATAAATTGTTTAGTAAACTATAGAAGGTAACTGTTAAGTGGCGATGTCTTTTCAATGCATTTGAGTTCCTTATTTAGATTTTATGACTTTTATGACTAGTCAGACTCTTGGTTCAATTACTTACCAGGCCTACCTAGACAGATATGGGGTGAGACTAGGTGAAATCCAAGTTCTAATCATGTGAATGTATTTAGTGTAAACACTGGCATCTAAACTGTCATCCCTTCTTCTCTTGATTTTGCATTCATTTTCTAATTCATAAGTGAATTGGATGGTATCTATTATCGAGTTAATGTATGAAAAATTTCAAGATATGTTCTGATTTCAATGTAGTAAATGTTTCATCTACATATTATCACCATATTTTTGGGGTGGGTAACAATGTTCCTAATGCCATTTGTTCCCAACCATCCATAAATATCTACTACGATAGGGAATAATAGAGAACAAATTCCTACTCTTTCTGTTTGTTTATATTTTTTTCTTGAAATTTAAAAACCTTGGAAGTTAAACGCAATCGTATCGCTGGCATTATTTTCTCCAACAGAAACTTTAGTTCGATTGCTGAGTTCATTAACTAACTGCATCAAGTGCCATATTAATTGGTATATTTGTATACAGACTCCTCAAAACAAATTGGTCACTTTTCAGCTTTCATATAATTGTGTGTTATTTAGTCTTTATTTCCATTCAAAGCAACTGATGAAGGTAGACTTTCAACGACTTCTAATAAGACATAATATTGTAGCTAGATATCTAGATAATTCATACTTTGGTGTGTTTCTGAAGTTCACTTTCCGTCTAATAGGTTTATGAAGTCTAACGGTTCCATACATTATACTGGGATTATTAATTTTAGGCATTTAAATAAAACCATTGAGATTCATTCGGAGATGGGTTCACATTCAGCGTATTAGATGAATTGTAAACTTTTCAACTTTTATAACTGTGTCTACAGGTTTCATAACTGCTTTATATAACTGACTGACTGATAAAATCAACGTAGAACGTCACACACAGGTGTATCAGCTCACACTACCACACTTCACAGTAGTACATAAAGAATAAGTGGATAAAAAAGATTAACATCAAAGTAGACAAAGTTGTATGAGACAATAAGCATTCATGCTTTAGAAAATGTCAAGTAATGAATACATCTGCACCATTATGAACGATTTTTAACCATGTTACTAACAGTCCTCGACCACTGACTTATTTCATCTCCGGGACTATAGCACGGTAGTCGACATCTCCCCATATAGCTTAAAGCAACAGTCAGAGACTTCATCAATTGGTGCTAGGTTTTGATCTGGCCAACCTGAACCTTATTTCAACGTAATCCAATTTGCTCCACCAGTATGACATGCCAAAGTAGGAAGTGGTTCGGTATGCGCAACACATGTCCAAGCCACCTCAACCGATGAAGGATTACAACATTATCGATCGACTTGCCTATCTTGCCTAGTACCTTTCACCTGACGTCAAAATTGCTCACACGGTGATTCCACCAAACATGAGCAATGTTCAGAAGATTCCCACTGCTTCATATGGTCCTGTTTTGACATGTTCATTGACTTTCTTTAAGTAATCCGTGGTGTTCATGACCAATATCGAGTTGCCATTCTCAGATTTGGCAGCTACTACACGATATTCGTTTCTTAAATTGTGACAGGATGCAGAGAAAAGGCACTCAACTATATGAGGTCTGGAGCCTGATTAAATGTCTCAAGTCATCGAGTGGCTTTACTTTTAGGATCGTAATCTATCCCATACAGACGTAATTCACCGACAGGTGCTAACCACATAGTATAATGTCATCGGAAAATGGTTGACATACCATTAATTGCAGTCAGTTTCACAGCCAACGAAATGATGCAAATAGGATTCGACGGAATGACAAAAATATTTCCACACTATTCACATTACTTATGTTTATATGTGGAAAATCCTTTTCAGAAGAACATACCCAGAAAACAAGTAACTCCCATATATCTTCGCAGTATGTTGCAAACACGTAGATACGACGGTCGAAAATGATTGGACCAGTCAGCCAAACAATGTGCTTCATCAATGCAAACAAAACTGATTGGAGGTAAAGATCCAGATTGAAGTAGCCAATCAGAATCCACGATGGCTTCAGGAGATAACATCAGAAAGGAGTATTTACCCCTATTAAGATAAATTTAGTACACTTCATAATTTAATTCTTAGGTTTATGAAGACTGATTTTAAAGTTATTTTAATCAAGAATTGCAATCAGATGAAGAACCGTTGAAAACCCAGGAGCACCGAACAGTCGTCGAAGATTCGGACTCCTTAGTGATGTGCATCCACGATCATGTCGAGGATCAGGTTAAGAACCCTGGAATCTCGTGGCGAGGGAAATAATATCCAATCCCTGGGTTGAAACCCAACGGTCCACTTCCTCCAGATTCTATCAACTAAAAATATAACCTAATCATTATCCAATAATTAGTGATTGGTGAAAGAAAAAAAATTAATACATTTATACCTAAAAACAGCAAATATCAAACGAAATTATTAACCAATCATATTTTGCGGAATTTATTGAAGCACACATGCCTGTTAGGTACCAGAACTCCGTGGCAATATGAACAAAAAATCACTTGGAAATCGAACCCACGACCTTCACATAAAGTATTAAGTATGTTTTCCAAATCCGTGGCTGGAGACTGTAGCCAATATGGCTCAGTAATAACAGGGTTCACACAGAGACACCCATACACCATCATTCCAATAATTATATTTTTTGTAAGTCGCTTTACGCCTTTTTCCTCTATTCGGAAGACTTACTACAACTTTGACTCCATCATTTCTCGTTTCTTACCTTGCATTTCGTCACTTAGTTGGACCGACGTGGTGCTAAAACTTCGACCATTTGTAATAATATCAGGTCCCAAGATGATATTAACTTGACGTGACTTTAGTATGCTACAGATAAGTGACTATCTGAACTGATAAGGGAGCTATGGCTCATTGGTTTAGGGAGACGAATATCAACAATTAGGTCACGGTTTCAGCCCCGTTCCATCTACCGCAGTTTAGGCAGCTAGGTAGTATCGCTAGCCCTCATATAACAGGTGTGATTCATTGCCCACTAAATGGACGTATACAAAGTGACTGAGTGCGTCTTTTTTCAACTTACACTTGATAACATTTGCAAAATTGCGTAAGACATTCGCTTTGTAGTCTTTCATAAAATCGATATGTCAACTAAGATCTGCATCTCATCTTTTCTTCTGACAACATTCGAATGCCAAGAATAGTATTCCAACACAGGAATTTATCCATAAATACAAACCGACAACTAAGAGCTACTCATAAAAATATTCATAAACCTTTCAATATTCTTTGTCACGGATTTATACCGGGATGTCTAGTTGATGCAACCCGGGTACGTATAAGCTTCTGAATCAGGGAAGAAACATGCATATTATGCGCAAGCTGGACAGAACCCCCCTATACATTTTTTTATAGTTAAATAATTTTTTATCGTGAAACTATACCGTCGATAACAAGACTAAGTTGATCTAGTTAACAAAACTTGATGATTCTCGTCAATGATATCCAACTATTCATTTTATTTGGTAGTTTATTTCGTTGGATTCTATAAACTGTCGAAATTGGACTGAAAACTAAAACACAACGATAAGCAGCATTTTCTTTATCTAGGTGTGTGATCTATACACAATCCCACGGGTTGAATCATACAAAAAAACGCACCTGCGCGCCTCTTCTAATGTTTCTCTCTTGTAATCTGCAGACTGACTGGAATTTAAGTAAGCTCCTTGTATCCCCACTATAGATGGTAATACTTGATCTTGCATCAAAGAAATAAGAGGCGAGATAACCAAGGCGACCTTCCCATTTATTTGCTAAAATGTACCGAAATTCAAAAAGGATTAGATAATAATTTAACTTACCTGGTGAATTACTGCGGGTATTTGATAACAAAGTGATTTTCCAGAGGCTGTTGGCATTACAGACAGTGTGGAAACACCCAAAAGTGTACGAAGTATGACTAGTTCTTGACCACTGCGGAATGAATTGAATCCAAACTGCTTTAAGCATGACTGCATACGGAGGGATAACTCATCAACAGACATTGCAAGTTGTGATTCTCTTAGCGAACCACTTGAAAAGTCTGCAGGAAAAACATCGTCAAGATGTGGTTGACAGTATCGGTCATCCAGCTCCGAGAGACTTAGTGTCTTGCAGGCAACATTACATTTCTGTAAATAAAGTGAATTGCTGACAGCTGGAGTTTTCGGTTTCATTATGGTCAGCGGACATTTATTAGCCCAATGACCCGTTGCTCCACAAGTAAAGCAAGTATTTCTCTTTTGATAAGAACCTTTCTTGAACTTCTTTTTCAGTTTACTCAAGTATACCTGTCTCCTCAATGCTCGCTGCCTTGATGATCCTTTTTTACAAAACTGTTTCTTCTTCAGGTTGAGTTTTACGTAATTATGCACAGGAAGACTTCTGTTGGATTTTGAGACACTCTTTTCAAACCTACTCACCGTATCGTCTGCTGAATGTCTGATTACAGTGAGGTTTGTGTCGGTATCAGAAGTGACATTTACATTTAAAGCTTCGGAACTTTTGGGGGAGTTAGTATTGTCAGTAGAGCTCAGAGGATCATGACAGGTTGCTGACAGATTTGTTACCGAGTGATCACCTACTAGGGGACTTACTTCGTCGACCAAACGATGACCAAGCAAAGATCCGCGCTTTGTGGATGCAGACCATGACATATGGGATTCAATGGCAGTAGGACGAAGAAGAGGTTTGCGAAATAAATCTCCTTTGGTGTTATTACTCGCTGATTTCACTTGTAAGTAAGTACTATTTTGACAATGATAATTCGAATACAACGAGGTGTCACTGTTGTTAGTAACTGGTGAACGCAACAAAACATTGCCAGTTTCCTTCAGAGTGTGGTTATGTTTTAACTGGGTAGGTAGGTAACTATTATCTGCACAAGGTGAGTTGAAACCCTGCAACTTTTTAACGACATTCTCCTTTTCTCTTGAACTTTCCGATGAATTTCTGGGTGTGGTATCTACGCCCAAGGATTCCTCATGTGGCAGACACTTTTTAACGAAATTTTTCTTCAGCCTAGTTGCGAACTGCACCTGGAGGGGAACAGTTGACTTGCAAGACAGACTTTGAGTCACTGGTCGTATATCCCATGGATTTACATCACACTCTGTTTCCATTGCAATTGTCAGCGGCAAACTTTAACAAGTTGTCTTCGCAACAAAAGGATACTACACACCTACAAAAAACAAGGGATTTTTCCAGTTTAAAATAACTAAAAAGGATTATGAATAAAAAGTTGGGTTGAGAATGAGTTATGTTTAAGAAAATGGTTATTTATGAAGGAAAATAACTGAAAACAAATGATATAAAGCAACTCTGAAGGTGTGATTGAAATTCAAGACATAAGTAAATAGTGAAAATAAAGAAACTATGCAAGTACAAAATGCAGACAATGCTTACACCTCAGTTCTACGCTAAAACTTCAATGCAAAGACTTAGTATTAATACTTGTGAAAACAGAAATCAGTTTTATTACAAAATAACGGTCAGCACATTAAACGCAAACACAATATAATGGAAATAGATGAGAAATGTCAGTAAATCCTGTTTGGTTGTTAGCTCAACGACTGAACTGGGTTGAAAATGGATTACGCATGCCAAACCACTACCCAACAGAATGTGTCATGCTAGAAGTTGCTTTTAGGTAAGAAGAGTGTTAAGCTTGGCCAGACCAAGAAGTGGCACTAGACAATAAAATCTCTCACTGTTGGTCTGAGCTATGTAGGGAGATGCAAACTGCCTGGTCGGGGTCCTCAAGACGATAAAAATCAGTGGTAGGGGACTCTTGGTGGTATGGCTGAAAATTGGTCACAATGGTGGCGATGTATTTACTCCCTGACATCTTTTAAAGCTTAAATATTTGCACTAACCTTTCTGTTCAAATTGTTTCGCACTTATGTGACAGGTTCTACGTTGGTTTTTTGTCTCTGCGATTGGTTCAAAGAAACAATATATCTATTATAAAAGCCCAACAGCAAAATCACATCCTAAACCGAGAATTCCCCATCATTTGACTGAAAAACAGACAATCATCTTATAATGATACTCTAAACTTCCGAGAACTAGACTAAGAGTAGCAATCCGATGGTATATGATGGTCACTGTATCATCATACTAAAGAATTTATTCATTACACAATGGTCACTAAATAATTCTTCATAGACTTTTATGGAGCTTTGGTTGTAAATCAGTTTTCAACTCCCAATAACTAGGGTTCAGCTGCTGACACCGAATTTCAAGATTGTAAAGAACAACCACTGCACCTGATTCCAATGTAGAAGACTTTCCTTGTAAGAGTTATGCAATGTATGAAAATATGTCTGAAGTGAATCTGTCAACCTTTTATCGAATCCGAGTATCTTCAGTGAGAAGTTACTTCCAAAAACAAGACTACAACTTTAGCTGTAGTTACTAGATTTGATTGATTGAAGGCAACAATTAGACACTTGCTCAAACTCTTATCACTTAACAGTTTAAGACATGCTACTTAGTCATAATTTATGACCGATATTTTAGTCCGTGCAACAAAATGCTTTCATGGCTCTAAATTTTTGATGGAAGGCAGAATGTAGGCTTTACGTCAAGCTTAGACTCTCTCAATTTGTACCCTATTAGAAATAGAGCTATACAGCGTATAAAAACTGAGAGACAGACATACAAAGTCAACAAAGAACCTAGCACACAAGTGCATCGCTTCAAGTTGCGATACATCACACTAGTATACAAAGAACAAATGGATAAAAAAGAGTGATAGCAAGGTAGGCAAAGTTGTGAGAGAATAAACAATATGAAGATAAAGGTTAGTGTGAGTGTTACAGCTTTAGATGTCAAGAAGTGAATACATCTACACTATTGAGACCAATTTTCGGCCATGTCACCAAGAGTCCCCAACAGCTTACTCCTACCGTCTTAGGGACCCCAACCAGGTAGTCTGCATCCCCCTACATGCCTCAGACTAACAGTCAGGGGCTTTATTTAAGTTAAACTTGGGCACTGTTGCAGATTTCAGTTCCATTCCAGTCTGTTTGGTAGAAATGTCACACAGTAAAACAGTATAGTTCACTAAATAGCGTTTCAGACAAATTATTGTTCATATTCATATCATGTAACTATACAACTTTGAGACACTAGTTCTAATTTTCTCTCCTTCTTTGTGACAAGGGTAGTAGGATTTTCCATATGTCTGGGACAAGTGCAGAATCACTTCTATGGCATGTATTTGGTGTTGATTCGATAAACAAAGATTCAGTTATCAACCTCTCCCTTTACCCAACTAAGTTCTAATGCTGACGCTCTATCCCACCCCACTGTGTGATTGTGTGTAACTGTGTAATTGCAGAGCCATAGCCTAGCACCCCCACAAATTTTTTATTTTAACAGGATCTACTAATCTTGATTTAGCTAAGTTTTTCGGCTCCGTTATTCTAATCGACGCTGGTCAACTACCTTGATCTAAGTATTTAACCTCACAATCATTGCAAGGGAGTTGGTTAACCAAATTATTTTGCCTAATTGAATCAATTAGATATTTTAACCTACATAGCTTGTTTCGAAGCAAGTTTGTTGTTTTAAATGCCAATTAAATCCAAGCCTAACTGAGAATTCTTTGTAACGTTACTAAGGTGCATTCCTCAGACGGTAAACTATGCAGAGACCTGATTAGATTCGCTTGAACACATTGGCACTACATTTTTTGGCTTAAATTTTATATACAATTTTATGAAACGTCACAGCCATGGGTTTTCCACTTTTTTCTAATATTATATTCTTCACATACGGTTTGTAGAACTACATACGTTGGACTAAAACAGTGAAGACAAAGGTGGCGCTAAACTGTTGAATGCAATGCCAAATGAAGAGGGAAGTTAGAAAATCATGTAATTCAATGGAACTTGGACTCATGACCACTGTTCCGTCCAATGAAAATGGTAGCTAGGAGGTAAGAAACAAGACCCTGCATCCTGAGTATTCTCATCTGACAGAATTATGCCATTCCCAAACTCCAAGTCGACTTAGGTTACTGTGATAAATCCAATCTATAAACGTAAGAGCGAGAAGAGATAACTCGATAAGCACAGTGCTGATAGTCACACGAAAAGAGAAGGGCTAATCTTAGCAAGTACCGCTTGATGTCAAAGACATTAAACTATATATCCAGCTGATCATGGCATAGGGACTCAGTAGACGAACTTAGACATAGCAGTCAGTACTACTTGCTGCATCAACTCAAGTTGCCACACTTCACAGTAGTATACATACAAGAAATGGAGAGAAAAAGTGATATAAAATAGATAAAGTTATGAGAGAGAGAGAGAGAGAGAGAGAGAGAATCTGAAGATAACGCTTAGTGCGAACGTTTAAGCCTTAGAAGACGTCAAGGAGTGAATACATTCGCGCCATTGTGACCAATTTTCAGCCATGTCACAAACAGTCCTCAACCAGTGATTTCCACCATCTCGAAGACTCCAACCAGTCAGTCTACATCTCTCCACACGACTCAGATCAACAGTAAGAGACTGGTGCCACGTTTTGATCTGGACAACCTGAACCTTCCAACGTAATCCAACTTGCTCAACCACGATGGCACGTCAACGTGCGGAGTGGTTTGGGATGTGCAACATCCAAGTCATCTCAGCCGATTAAAGTTCACAACGTCATTAGGCCTAGCCTGTTTTGCCTAGTACTCTTCACCTGACCTCAACACTGCCCACAAGGTGATTTCATCCAATATGAACATTCCTACGAAAACACCAATGATTAAATCCCTGAGATCACTTTACATCTGCTTTCAACGACCATGCCTCATAGCTGTATAACAGGATAAAACAAACTTTAGCGCAGCATAATCGTCCTTTTATAGATAGTCAGAAATCTCACCAGATGGCTCCATAGGTGACGCAAGTTTGAAAATACTGAACAGGCCTTTTGTATCCGAGCTGAGATTTTGTCGCCAACCAGCCCATTCGAGCTGAAGCAACTCTTCTAAGTGAAATGGTCGATAAATTCCACGACCTATCTCTCTATTCTTAGTCTGTGAGTGGTTGCAGACCAGTACTGGACCATCACCTTATATCTGACGGGTGCAAAGCCCTAACGGGTCAGTGGTCGATTAAATCTCTGTACGAATAGAAAAGGCTCGGCTGGCTTTGGCCAATTTACGCCACCTATGGCGCTGCTGTGATATCCTATTGTCTATTAAGGGTCGCATGTACTGCACAGCAGTCTGGTCTGTTCTACTGTATCGCTGTGAAATATGGTCATTGAAGGTAGAAGACATGAGAAGGCTTCAAGTGTTAAACACCGTTGCCTTCATAGTATAGGCTGTATTCATTCCGTGGTGTCACCACGTGAGTAATGCAGAAGTCAAATATAGAGTTTTAGGGAGAAGAGGTATATCAGTTGATACTGTTGCGAACCTTCATCGACTGAGATGGTTTGCTCCAACATGTGTTACATATGCCTAGTCGTCAATCGCCTCGTCACACAATGTTGACCGAAGTAGGTTCAGGCTGGAAAATCGCTCAAGGCGGTCAGACTAAAACATGGCATCAATGTACGAAGAGTTTGACTGTTGGTTTGAGTCATGTAAGGTGATGCAGACTGGGTGGTTGGAGTCCGTGGGATAAGAGAACCCAGTGGTTGGAGACTCTATGTGATATGGCTTACGACCGATGTCAGTTGTGCAGATGTATACACACACTATCCTCATCTTAACGACGCTATACCGAATCTCACCACTTTCTCATTCTTCGTTTCTCTTTTTTCATACTTTATATTTCTTTCGGGTGAATTTTCTTTTCTTCATCTTCCACTTCACTGCCTTTTTACTTGATGTACTATACGGAGGTGTGGCAACTCGGACCGTTACGCAGTAGTGCCTGGTCCTATGTTGATATTGATTGATTGACGGGTGCGAAACGTATACCAGACACTCAAATTTCTACCCAACGCAGACCACACTTAATTACTTACTATGGTATGCAGACACACGAGAGCGACAGTTGTAACACTAAGTGTACTACAGTTGCAGTTACATGTAATAACTTTCTGTGAGATCACAACCTCCAGGGAAGATGGACTCAAGGTCCCGGCTAGTTGAATGCTGCTCCTCAAAAAC